TTCTTAATCTTGTTAAGTGTGTTCAGGTATGTTGGCCGTGCCCACTAATTGGCCACATCTGATCTTAATGAGTGCTTTTTTTCCTTTTGAAATGGGGTCTGTTTGAATAGACTCAAATGAACAGCTTTGTATCAGTTTAAAAACATGGCATGCTAGCTCCATCCTGGTGGCGCAGAGAACTAATTCCACAACAGAAGATTATGGGTTCGAATCTCCCTGACGCCATGCCACAATAAAAAAGTTAATGTGTTATTTCCATGTGTCCTATCTGTGCTTGCAGTTCAAAACAGTTAACCCAAACTCAGTTAGCAGTGTTATTAAAAGCGCTTATTGAAACATTACATTTTCGTCATTTAGCAGACGCTCTTATCCAGAGCGACTTACAAATTGGTGCATTCACCTTATGATAGCCAGTGGGACAACCACTTTACATTTTTTTCTTTTTTCTTTTTCTTTTTTTTGGGGGGTGGGGTAAGGGGGGGTAGAAGGATGACTTTATCCTATCCCAGGTATTCCTTAAAGAGGTGGGGTTTCAAGTGTCTCCAGAAGGTGGTGAGTGACTCCGCTGTCCTGGCATCGTGAGGGAGCTTGTTCCACCATTGGGGTGCCAGAGCAGCGAACAGTTTTGACTGGGCTGAGCGGGAACTGTGCTTCCGCAGAGGTAGGGGGGCCAGCAGGCCAGAGGTGGATGAACGCAATGCCCTCGTTTGGGTGTAGGGACTGATCAGAGCCTGAAGGTAAGGAGGTGCCGTTCCCCTCACAGCTCCGTAGGCAAGCAGCATGGTCTTGTAGCAGATGCAGGCTTTAACTGGAAGCCAGTGGAGTGTGCGGAGGAGCGGGGTGACGTGAGAGAACTTGGGAAGGTTGAACTCCAGATGGGCTGCGGCGTTCTGGATGAGTTGTAGGAGTTTAATGGCACAGGCAGGGAGCCCAGCCAACAGCGAGTTGCAGTAATCCAGACGGGAGATGACAAGTGCCTGGATTAGGACCTGTGCCGCTTCCTGTGTAAGGCAGGGTCGTACTCTGCGAATGTTGTAGAGCATGAACCTACAGGATCGGGTCACCGCCTTGATGTTAGCGGAGAATGACAGGATGTTGTCCAGGGTCACGCCAAGGCTCTTTGCACTCTGGGAGGAGGACACAACGGAGTTGTCAACCGTGATGGCGAGATCATGGAGCGGGCAGTCCTTCCCCGGGAGGAAGAGCAGCTCTTTCTTGCCGAGGTTCAGCTTGAGGTGGTGATCCGTCATCCACACTGATATGTTTGCCAGACATGCAGAGATGCGATTCGCCACCTGGTTATCAGAAGGGGGAAAGGAGAAGATGAATTGTGTGTCGTCTGCGTAGCAATGATAGGAGAGGCCATGTGAGGATATGACAGAGCCAAGTGACTTGGTGTATTGCGAGAATAGGAGAGGGCCTAGAACTAAGCCCTGGGGGATACCAGTGGTGAGAGCACATGGTACGGAGACAGATTCTCGCCACGCCACCTGGTAGGGGCGACCTGTCAGGTAGGACACAATCCAAGAGTGAGCTACGCCGGAGATGCCCAACTCGGAGAGGGTGGAGAGGAGGATCTGATGGTTCACAGTATCAAAGGCAGCAGATAGGTATAGAAGGACGAGAGCAGAGGAGAGAGAGTTAGCTTTAGCAGTGCGGAGAGCCTCCGTGACACAGAGAAGAGCAGTCTCAGCTGAATGACCAGTCTTGAAACCTGACTGGTTTGGATCAAGAAGGTCATTCTGAGAGAGATAGCAAGAGAGTTGGCTAAAGACGGCATGCTCAAGAGTTTTGGAGAGAAAATAAAGAAGGGATACTGGTCTGTAGTTGTTGACATCGGAGGGTTCGAGTGTAGGTTTTTTGAGAAGGGGTGCAACTCTCGCTCTCTTGAAGACGGAAGGGACATAGCCAGCGGTCAAGGATGAGTTGATGAGCGAGGTGAGGTAAGGGAGAAGGTCTCCGGCAATGGTCTGGAGAAGAGAGGAGGGGATAGGGTCAAGCGGGCAGGTTGTTGGGCGGCCGGCCGTCACAAGTCGCAAGATTTCATCTGGAGAGAGAGGGGAGAAAGAAGTCAAAGCATAGGGTAGGGCAGTGTGAGCAGGACCAGCGGTGTCATTTGACTTAACAAACGAGGATAGGATGTCGTCAACCTTCTTTTCAAAATGGTTGACGAAATCATCCACAGAGAGGGAGGGGGGGGGATTCAGCAGGGAGGAGAAGGTGGCAAAGAGCTTCCTAGGGTTAGAGGCAGATACTTGGAATTTAGAGTGGTAGAAAGTGGCTTTAGCAATAGAAACAGAGGAAGGAAATGTAGAGAGGAGGGAGTGAAAAGATGCCAGGCCCGCAGGGAGTCTAGTTTTCCTCCATTTCCACTCAGCTGCCCGGACCCCTGTTCTGTGAGCTCGCAATGAGTCGTCAAGCCACGGAGCAGGAGGGGAGGACCGAGCCGGCCAGGAGGATAGGGGACATAGAGAGTCAAAGGATGCAGAAAGGGAGGAGAGGAGGGTTGAGGAGGCAGAATCAGGAGATTGGATGGAGAAGGATTGAGCAGAGGGAAAAGATGATAGGATGGAAGAGGAGAGAGTAGCGGGAGAGAGAGAGCGAAGGTTGCGACGGCGCATTACCATCTGAGTAGGGGCAGAGTGAGTAGTGTTGGAGGAGAGCGAGAGAGAAAAGGATACAAAGTAGTGGTCGGAGACTTGGAGGGGAGTTGCAGTGAGATTAGTAGAAGAACAGCATGATGAGGTAAAGCGTATTGCCTGCCTTGTGAGTAGGGGGGGACGGTGAGAGGGTGAGGTCATAAGAGGAGAGGAGTGGAAAGAAGGAGGCAGAGAGAAATGAGTCAAAGGTAGACGTAGGGAGGTTAAAGTCACCCAGAACTGTGAGGGGTGAGCCATCCTCAGGAAAGGAACTTGTCAAGCTCATTGATGAACTCTCCAAGGGAACCTGGAGGGCGATAAATGATAAGGATGTTAAGCTTGAATGGGCTAGTGACTGTGACAGCATAGAATTCAAATGAGGAGATAGACAGATGGGTCAGGGGAGAAAGAGAGAATGTCCACTTGGGAGAGATGAGGATTCCTGTGCCACCACCCCGCTGACCAGATGCTCTCGGGGTATGCGAGAACACATGGTCAGACGAGGAGAGCGCAATAGGAGTAGCAGTGTTTTCTGTGGTAATCCATGTTTCCATCAGCGCCAAGAAGTCGAGGGACTGGAGGGTAGCATAGGCTGAGATGAACTCTGCCTTGTTGGCCGCAGAACGGCAGTTCCAGAGGCTGCCGGAGACCTGGAACTCCACGTGGGTCGTGCGTGCAGGGACCACCAGGTTAGAGTGGCAGCAGTCACGCGGTGTGAGGCGTATATATAGCCTGTGCGGAGAGGAGAGAACAGGGATAGAAAGACACATAGTTGACAGGCTACAGAAAATGGCTACAATAATGCAAAGGAGATCGGAATGAAATGAACTAAACATCTGGGAAAGCGAGAGAGCGGGGCCTCCCTCACTTACGTTTCACTGAAACACTCAAATATAACTCTCCCAACTTCCACTTTAGAAATTATAATTGTTGTTAACTACAGCGGTTCAATGTTTTCTAGGAATAGACTAACTTAGTTTATTTAGCTAGCTAACTTGGTACAGTATTCTTCCGTGAAAACCGTCCAGGGCACCGAATCCTATGACGCCATAGCCAACAAGCATGCCAGCCTCCAATAACACGGTTTAGCACCAATACTCGGTTACAACAAACCACCAGTGTGTTAACACGCCAAGCAGATCATTCGTGTCCGTGTCTAACGTTGTGTAAAGTTTTGGGTTAGTTTTGACAGTTTGAGTGAGTCCGTCGTCAATAGTAGAGAGAATGATTTATTTTCAAATTTTATTTATTTAATCACATTCCCAGTGGGTCAAATGTTTACATACACTCAATTAGTATTTGGTAGCATTGCCTTTTTAATTGTTTAACTTGGGTCAAACATTTCAGGTAGCCTTCCACAAGCTTCCCATAATAAGTTGAGTGAATTTTGGCCCATTCCTCCTGACAGAGCTGGTGTAACTGAGTCAGGTTTGTAGGCCTCCTTGCTCGCACATGCTTTTTCAGTTCTGCCAACACATTTTCTATAGGATTGAGGTCAGGGCTTTGTGATGGCCACTCCAATACCTTGACTTTGTTATCCTTATGCCATTTTGCATGCAAACATGTTCTCAGAACATTATTTAATTATCTTCAAATAACCTATTATTTCCATTCTCAAAACGTTAATAAAACCTCCCAGGAAAACATTCAGGGAACCAAAATAAAACGCTCTCAGAACCTCCCTGCAACCTAAAAATGTACGTTCCCAGAACAGGTTTAGAAAACATTCTGTTTTACCGGTCAGGAAATGTATGGCTTTGTTTCCAGAACCAATGGTAAACCAAAAGTACGCTCCCACAACTTCCAAGGAACCAAATGTGCTAGCTGGGACTCAACACACTTACCATGTGTCCTTGCACAACCCCACTAACACACACACACATCACCCCTCACTCCTTCCATCCTGCCACACTCCCCTGGGGACTTTGATGCGTTTTACTTGAATCTGTTTCACCCCTCCGAAAGGAGAGCGCCATTGGAAGAAAGCTTCCGCTCTATCTTTCGCCCTAGCTCTCGAGTGAGACAAAGTCCTCCATGGCGCGTCACAGTGCGGTTCAACTGCCACTGAAAAGACTTCACCAAAATCCCCTGTCATAAACAACAAAAACACTGTAGCCTTTTCAGTTACTGCCCAGATGGAAAGGCTCTTTTTTATCTCAGATCGGACACTGTGTCTATCCCACTTCACAGATGTTGACACTGTTTGTTGTGGGTTAAGACGCCCCTCTAAAAGACCATTGTCTCTCTTGTATCTCCTTCGTTATTTCATAAAGAGAGTTTCCCTCTCTTTCTGTGAGAACCGGGCCCCCCCTCAGACTGGAAGCTTGGCCCTGGCCGAGAGAGGGAGAGCAGTGAAAGACCTCCGGATGGAGGCTGGAGCTCCAGGGGGTCTTTCTGCCCACAGCGGCCCAGCCAAATGGCCTCATTGTTGGGATCAGCAGGCAGCTGCGGAGGGCTGTGATGGCTGGATGGGGCATGAGTCCCTCTCCAGAGTGAGGGCCAGAGGTCAGACCCCCACGGGGCTGCTGCATACAGATGTAGGATCTTAATTTGAGCCAGTTTACAACAGCAGGATAATAATCCTGCAGCAACAGGCAATGTGAATTATTATGTGGATTATAATTAATGGACATTTTTATAGGGGTTAATACAGCAACTCTGAAATGTCAAAGTGGAAATTACAAACTTCAGAAGCCTTTTTAAACCTCAAATAAACTACAAACTTTACATTTCCTGCATTGCAGGAAAGTTCTCCTGCAACAGGGTGATTAAATTACGATCCTACATCTGTACCTGCCCTGCCCTACGCTACACTCCCAGGGAGAGGGAGGCTCAATAGAGAGGCATAAAGGGGCATCTTAACTTTAAGAGGTAGCGGAGTGGACAGGCTAATTCCGTGCAGTCTCTACTTTTCTATGAAAAGGTAATTAAATGAATGGGCCCGTAAGAGGCAGTAACGAGTGGTGAGGTCAGAGGCTTGTGGCTAAGCTCAGAACAAGTCCATACCTCAGGATAAAAAATGTATCTCCGGCTGAAATCAAAACTCTGATGGCACCTGGACTAGTTCCATTGTTGATATAGGTGTGCATGCGTGTATGTGTGTGTGTGTGTGTGTGTGTGAGTGTGTGCACACATACACTCGTCTGTGTGTATGTTCAAGTGCATCCTTGTGTGTGTGTGTGTGTGTGTGCGCGTGTGTGTGTATGTGTGTGTGTGTGTGTGTGTGTGTGTGTAGGGGGGATGGGGTGGGGTGGTAAAAGACCATGTCAAACATTTGGAATGCTAAGCCAGAACCCATTCTTCCTCCTTATCACACTTCTGTGCCTCCAGGGAATTTTCAGAGTCATGCCTCCATGCACCGTCAGCAAGGGGAACACAAACACAGTTTTCTTTGACCACACAGAGTTTAGAAATATGGAATATGGTTTAGAAATATGGAATATTGTTTAGAAATATGGAATATGGTTTAGAAGTATGGAATATGGTTTTCAAATATGGAATATCATTTAGAAATATGGAATATCATTTAGAAATATGGAATATGGTTTAGAAATATGGAATATGGTTTAGAAATATGGAATCAGCATCCACTTCACCACACACACATGCTACTCCGGACAGCCTTTCCTTCTCAGAGTTAGATAACAAAATGTTCTCAACCATGGATTCCTCGATGAACGGCCTTGCAGTGCCATCTAGCAATGTCATTGGTTTAGTTTGGTTTAGTTGAATATGTTTTAACACATAACAATTTAACAGTAATAGAGTGGTTTGTCATTTTATTGTCTTAAGTTTTATCTCTATCTAGCTTGACTTGCACAGACACGCTCCTTTTCAATATATTTTTTACACTCACTTGCTTTAATTAAGCCCTTGTCTTTCCCCACAACTTCCATATATTCCAAAAGTATTGAATTTGGATCAATCGGCAGTTTTGTCGTTCACCTCAGCTAGGAACCAGAGTGACTCAGTCAAAGGCTCTATTCTGAGACAGAAAGCCATCAAGTAGCATTGGTCAGTGAGAGAGAAAGATTAAATAACTTAATTCACGTACCGTCTGAAAGTTTATGACAGAGGACTTGGTATGGTCATCAATGAGTGCTGCTGTCAGTGAGTGATGTGTGAGGGCTGAGGTGCGTCCCTGACCCCAGATTAACAGTACACGAACATCCTCCCAGACAAGGGCCACCTAAAACCCTGACCATCAGTCGCCTCTCACAGCCACAGGGGCTGCGCTCCCCTCTAAACTCACCGCATTGTGTTCCCCTTGTATTGCTCATTGCGAATAATGTCCCCCTTGTATTCCTCATTGATTCCTCCACTCCTATACTATAACACTCACAACCTCCAGAGCAGCGGGGTAGAGTGGTGGCTGTGGTGCCCAGCGTGAGTGTCCTCCCAACGGGAGCTTGACCGGGAGCTGCAGGTACCATTCATCCAGCCTGGCAGGCCAGCTCCAGCTTCCTGCTGCTGGAAATTTGTCGTCCCCCTCTGGGTGTCTTTCTGGGAGTGTCAGGCTCTGGGCCCCTGATGAGAGATTTGTTGATATAATAACTCGATTAGGCCCCAGCATGGATGACACGGTGGCAGAGAGTCAGCCATCGACGCCCAGGGAGGCCCTGATCCCACTCCTTAACCTCTCCTCAGGAGATGGCAATTAGTGCTAGTAATTGGTTAATTAGCATGCCGGGCCCTGGCTTCATAGATTCTCTCTCTGTCCAACTGCTTGTGTTAAGTGTGTATGGAAAAAGGTACAGCAAGGGTCTGGAGACTTCTGTTTCTAGTCATCATCTTGGTTTTCCCATCACAGTTTACATGGCTACTTTAAAACTCTCCTTACATAATGTTGATTTACATTGGCAACTGAAAAAGTATTTTCAGAATGTTAGTTAGACTATTTCTGATCATCAGTTTGTATTAATTGAATGTGGGCTCACTGACGGTCTGGTTGAGAATATCTTTGTGGTCAAGGACTGTTTTCATAAAGTGTCTCAGAGTAGGAGTCCTGATCTAGGATCAGTTGTTTTATTTAGGTCAACATTTATAAGATTACATACATATGTAGGATCTTAATTTGAGCCAGTTTGTTACAGCAGGAAAATAATCCTGCAGCAACAGGAAATGTGAATTATTATGTGTATTATAATTTATGGACACCTCTGAATTTTCAAAGCAGAAATTACAAACTTTAGACGCCTTTTTAAAACTCAAATACACTACAAATTTAGATTTCCTGCTGTGCAGTAACAAAATAGTTATCAAATTAAGATCATTCATCTGTAGACAGGGGTGACCTGATCCTAGATCAGCATTCCTAGTCCAGGACGCTTTATGAATATGATTCTGGTCAGACCACAGTGTTTGATCAGGTTGGTGATTGGTCCTGGTCAGACCACAGTGTGTTGATCAGGTTGGTGATTGGTCCTGGTCAGACCACAGTGTGTTGATCAGGTTGGTGATTGGTCCTGGTCAGACCACAGTGTGTTGATCAGGTTGGTGATTGGTCCTGGTCAGACCACAGTGTGTTGATCAGGTTGGTGATTGGTCCTGGTCAGACTACAGTGTGTTGATCAGGTTGGTGATTGGTCCTGGTCAGACCACAGTGTGTTGATCAGGTTGGTGATTGGTCCTGGTCAGACCACAGTGTGTTGATCAGGTTGGTGATTGGTCCTGGTCAGACCACAGTGTGTTGATCAGGTTGGTGATTGGTCCTGGTCAGACTACAGTGTGTTGAACAGGTTGGTGATTGGTCCTGGTCAGACCACAGTGTGTTGATCAGGTTGGTGATTGGTCCTGGTCAGACCACAGTGTGTTGATCAGGTTGGTGATTGGTCCTGGTCAGACCACAGTGTGTTGAACAGGTTGGTGATTGGTCCTGGTCAGACCACAGTGTGTTGATCAGGTTGGTGATTGGTCCTGGTCAGACCACAGTGTGTTGATCAGGTTGGTGATTGGTCCTGGTCAGACCACAGTGTGTTGATCAGGTTGGTGATTGGTCCTGGTCAGACCACAGTGTGTTGATCAGGTTGGTGATTGGTCCTGGTCAGACCACAGTGTGTTGAACAGGTTGGTGATTGGTCCTGGTCAGACCACAGTGTGTTGATCAGGTTGGTGATTGGTCCTGGTCAGACCACAGTGTGTTGAACAGGTTGGTGATTGGTCCTGGTCAGACCACAGTGTGTTGATCAGGTTGGTGATTGGTCCTGGTCAGACCACAGTGTGTTGATCAGGTTGGTGATTGGTCCTGGTCAGACTACAGTGTGTTGATCAGGTTGGTGATTGGTCCTGGTCAGACACAGTGTGTTGATCAGGTGGTGATTGGTCCTGGTCAGACCACAGTGTGTTGACAGGTTGGTGATTGGTCCTGGTCAGACCACAGTGTGTTGATCAGGTTGGTGATTGGTCCTGGTCAGACCACAGTGTGTTGATCAGGTTGGTGATTGGTCCTGGTCAGACCACAGTGTGTTGATCAGGTTGGTGATTGGTCCTGGTCAGACTAGAGTGTGTTGATCAGGTTGGTGATTGGTCCTGGTCAGACCACAGTGTGTTGATCAGGTTGGTGATTGGTCCTGGTCAGACCACAGTGTGTTGATCAGGTTGGTGATTGTGCTGACTGGGCTGATTCTACAAGGCTCAGTCTGTGTCCCAAATTGCACACTATTCCCCATGGGCCCTGGTCTAAAGTAGTGCCCTATAAAGGGTATAGGGCCCTGGTCTAAAGTAGTGCCCTATACAGGTAATAAGGTGGCATTTGTGACTCAGACTCATTTTGCTTGTGTTTGTGATTTGCATCATAAAACTGTAGCTTTCCTTTGCGGCCGAAGGTCTTATAACGTTTTATCCATTTCATGTTGGGAATGGGGAAATTCATGTGCATACCGCATACTGCTAAACAAGGATGTCTCCATGGTTACAACCGGAGGCATATATTTAGATGGCTCTGGCTACAACTATACCCCTCATATTATCATCTATCATCTATCAGACATAAACATCTTTATGGTTTTATTTGACTGAGACAGACATTTCAGAGGCAGGATTTTCAATTCAATGGATCTGTATGGTCCAATAAAAAATACATACATGCATAAATACAAATATACACATAGCAAATATACACTGAGTGGATAAAACATGATGAACACCTGCTCTTTCCATGACATAGACTAACCAGGTGAATCCAGGTTAAAGCTATGATCCCTTATTGATGTCACTTGTTAAATCCACTTCAATCAGTGTAGATGAAGGGGAGGAGACAGGTTAAAGAAGGATTTTTATGCCTTGAGACAATTGAGACATGGATTGTGTATGTGTGCCATTCAGAGGGTTAATGGGCAAGACAAAAGATTGAAGTGCATTTGAACGGGGTATGGTAGTAGGTGCCAGGCGCACCGGTTTGTGTCAAGAACTGCAACGCTGCTGGGTTTTTCACGCTCAACAGTTTCCCGTGTGTATCAAGAATGGTCCACCACCCAAAGGACATCCAGCCAACTTGACACAACTGTGGGAAGCATTGGAGTCAACATGGGCCAGCATCCCTGTGGAACTCTTTCGACACCTTGTAGAGTCCATGCCCCGACGAATTGAGGCTGTTCTGAGGGCAAAAGGGTGGGTTGCAACTCCCCAAAATTCCAGTGATTATTGTTTGTCTGTTTTCTGGACAAAACAGTCAAATTACCGCACTGGTTTTAATTGAGGCTTCCAATGGGCTTCAGGGTTTGTGGAGCTTGTCTACATTGGTGACCTCTGACCCGTGGGTTTATTCCGACGTATTCAAGGTGTCACCATCTCTGTCCGCCTCCTCTTCTATGATGGACTCTTTCCCCTCTCCACTCCCTTTCTCCAGGCTACCTGCTGTGTCCAGGGTCGCTGGGGTGGAGAAGTTGCTTACTGTGGCCTATTTTGTTTGCCTTTGTCAACTCCTCAACCCTAAAGAGAGGCAGGGAAAAAAAGAAGCTGTCTCCTTTGAGGACACTTGTATTTGTTTAGGTTTTAACTTGTTGTAAGCACACAGTTTCATCTCCCCTAGTCCCTTGAATCGGAAAGAAGAGCAGCAAGAATACCATGCCCACTATTTGGAGATCTTTAATGGCGAATACAGTGTGTGTTGTACAGTGTGTGCGAGTGTAGGCTGTGCATGCATGTTCGTGCGCGTACATGTGGGATTGCTTGCACACATCCAAGTGTGTGGATGTGGTAATATGCAGTTGTCAATGTGTAATTGATCCGGGCAAGTGTGTTTGAGACGGAGCATGTGCATCTTTCAAATCTGCATTGAGTTACCCAAGAATCCCTGGCATGTGCTGGTTTTGACTGTTGACGTGCGAGGGAGGCGCTCATTGAAACTGTGAAACTGGGATGCGTCCTCTTTGGAGATACTTCTGACGTATGTGTGGTTGGCCTCGTTTGGTAAGATCGTTTGGTAAGATCGTTTGGTAAGATCGTAGTACAAATCAACAACGGAACAGTCCCCTCGTTCTAAACCCTTACAGATGGAGAACATGGCAGTGACACACAGCCATGCGTCACCCCAATTGGCACCATATTCCATATAGACTCTGGTAGAAAGTAGTGCAGCTTTATAGTGAATAGGGTGCCGTTTAGTACACACCCGAATTCATTTTCAATCTGTGATATATCATCTTAGTCATCTTATTGAGGAACGAACACTCAGTCCCCGTTAGGATCAATTGGAAATACATTTCGATACAGAATCAGCACACGTCATTCCGCCATAAATGTCGTTTTGCTTCAAAGAACATTAAAGTGTATAGAAATGTTCTGTAAAGAACATTAAAGTGTATAGAAATGTTCTGTAAAGAACATTAAAGTGTATATAAATGTTCTGTAAAGAACATTAAAGTGTATATAAATGTTCTGTAAAGAACATTAAAGTGTATATAAATGTTCTGTAAAGAACATTAGAATGTATAGAAATGTTCTGTAAAGAACATTAAAGTGTTTAGATATGTTCTGTAAAGAACATTAGAATGTATAGAAATGTTCTGTAAAGAACATTAGAATGTATAGAAATGTTCTGTGACTGGAATGGAAATGATTCCCAAATGAAAATAGCTGAAAAGTAAGTGGCTTTTATAAACAAACAAATTCTCTCTTTCCATCCAGCCTCTCTCTACTGATGGTTTGCTGGTAGATTGATGTTCTCAGATGATTCATACAGCTGAGTCATCGTTGTGCTATGGTGGGTGCTGTCATGTATATTCATATATGTTCTGTCTTTTGGTATAATGCTTCCTCTAACTGAGCAGAGTGCACCTTTGACATAGCAGTAGTAACTAAAAACTGACAGGAGAAACTTTATCTCTCAAAATCTGTTGGTTCTCATAGGAGGACAGCACCACCTAGTGGAATAATTGGAATGGGGCCACTATGTCTGTGGTATTCATACTGAATAAAATAAGGAAATAGGCTGAACATAAGTATTTAGGTGCATATTCTCCTAAACATAGCATAAACTCAACACATACTGTGTCAATAGTGATTATGCTTTATATGAAATATTATACAATGTTTTCCAGAGGGCCTAAGAGATATGTACTTATACACATTGTACAAAACCATTAGTATTGAGTCCGCCAATATGATCCAATCCTGCCATCTAATGGCTATTCTAGACTGTAACGTCAGAAAGACTTTCCATCAAATCAAGAGAATGAAGAGATATTCCATACTAATTGTATACTTCTGCTAGTAATATTTGACCTACTGACAGTAGTTCTCCATATACCACAGTGCTTGGACTGAAACTGGATCTATATGCGTGCATAACTTGATTTAAATCATAATCTATTGTAGTAGCACCTGCAATATGTATTTATTACATTTGATGTGAGGATGCAGCCTCTAATGAGCATTGAACAGGCTGCCTCCAATTCAATCTCCCTGGCCATGCCGCAAATGGCACCGTATTCCCTATATAGTGCATCACTTTTGACCAAAGCCCTGGCCAAAAGCAGTGCACTAAATAGGGAATAGGGTGCCATTTGGGATGAAGCCCATGCCTCCATTGACATGTGACCTGGGTCCTGTCACAGCCACACAGCTGATCGCCCCGGGCACTTTGAAGAGCTTTGAAGAGTTCGAGAGAGTCGCAACTCTACTGCGCAATAGGTCAGGACTGGTCAACTCTCCATCCCTTCCACTTTGTCCCCTCCTCTCCCCATTCTCTCTCTCTCCCTCTCTATGAGCAAGGACAATGGCATCATTCAGCCCTCCAATAACATGTGATGACAGTGGGTTCACCGCTGGCCCGTGCCCCCCTCCTCTTCTTCTTCCTTGGTTAATGAGGCTGGCTTCCTGCCCTGCACCTGTGCTAGCTGCTAGCTGAGCTCCTCATAAAGGGCTTAATTGAGGCGTTTAGCGGTTGGCTAACAGACGCACTCCCTCCAGGGCCATGACCGGGCACTGACCTGGGTAACCCCAAACACACTGCTCTTCTCAGGGTCTCCACTCCACTACCTTTGTGTTGACTGATCCCCAGCCTGTGGGATTGAGAGGTTCCATACACTGTCATGTGTTATTGCTCTACTGGCTTTTCACCACTTTGTCCATGGCTCAGTGAACTGCTTTCATTTCATAACTTAACAAGTCTTTTCTTTTTTTTCTTCCCAACTTTGTAATTCTTTTTTTGTGAGGGTTTCAGATCACTGACAGGCAATACTATTACAATAGTCCATGTATAAAGAAACAAAAAACAGCAAAAAAATATATTAAAATAAGCATTATTTGTCCTGTCTGTCCTACCTTCCTCCCCCCTTCTCGGAAGGTGCGACCCATTCCTATTCCCCCTTCCCTCCCGCTGTTCACACAAGCTATGGAGAGCTCTAGTGAAAGAATGTCAAGGAAGTTTTGTAGCCATTGAGTTATGCTGAGCTCATGTGGAGGCATCCATCTGGTCACTCACATTATTTTTGCCTCAGTCAGTCCAGACAACCATACTCATTTCTGGGGTACTATTAGAGTCAGTCTTTTCATACAACATCTGTGCTTTGAAGGAATGCCTCTCTGAGTCATCCCCATACACATTATTGTAATGAGTAGGATAATTATTGGTCTATTTCAGATTACATAACTACCGTGTACTGTGGTGACAGTATGCTGTGTTTTCCCACTCATCGTCTCATGATGAACCACCTTTCATTCACCTCTAACTCCACCTGCTGGTGGGGAATGGTAGTGCACACAACATACTGGTGCACACAACATACCCAACCCTCTCCTCAATCCTCTCCAGATGTTTCACATTTTAGTTTTAACCCTAAACTGGCACACCTGAGGTTTCCATGCAATGTTACCTGGGGAAGGGTTATAGCTACAGCAGCGTTTCCCAAACTCGGTCCTGGGGGACCCCAAGGGCTGCATGTTTAGTTTTTTTGTCCTAGCACTACATACCTGATTTAAATAATCAAAGCTTGATGATTGGTTGATTATTTGAATCAGCTGTGTAGTGCTGCTACCCAGGACAGAGTTTGGGAAACGCTGAGCCAGAGGGTAAAGGTAGTGTGTAACATGCTACAGATGTGCCACGTGGATGGCAGCTGTGCCCCTGTGACTAGTTCTAGAATCAGCAGGAAGCCGATACAGATTCATTTGTTATGTGGAAGGCTTGTTAGTGTGGACATGCAGTATAAAGCAACAGTCCAAGTACTCCATCGTGGCCTGGATTCAATCAGATCCAGCGCTAACTGGTGATACAACACCTGCATAGCTGATGTTTTTTTGGTGTTGAAGTTGTAAATGGAGCTGTCAAATCAGTGTGCGGCTGCTTTTGATCAATGTCATGAAGCCACAACTGTCCCACTCGCGTTAGAAGTTCAGAATGAGAAAGTGTAGCTATGTGGATATCGGCTAAATCGGATCTGATTGAATAGAGCCCCTAATGTTCCTTTTGATTAGATTAGATTAATTAGGATCCCCATTAGCTGATGCCAATGGCAACAGCTAGTCTTACTGGGGTGCGACACAAAACGAAAAATACATTACAGACTAAAAAAGACTTTACAATTTAAATACATTTAAAAACATGAACATGTAGTGTGTGTGTGCATCTATCAGTTACACATACATGTCATTACATACACACAACAAGTAGGTCACCTGGGGGAGAGGCGTTGTACCGTGAGGTGTTGCTTTATTCGTTTTTTTAACCCAGGTTTGCTGTTCACTTGCGCTATATGAGATGGAAGAGAGTTCCGTGCACTAATGGTTCTGTATAATACTGTACGTTTCGTTGAATTTATTCTGGACCTGGAGACAGTGAAAAGACCCCTGGTGGCATGTCTGGTGGGGTAAGTGTGTGTGTCCGTGCTGTGTGTAAACAATTTGGAATTTCCAACACATTTATGTTTCTTATAAAAACAAGAAGGGACACAGTCAGTCTTTCCTCAACTCTTAGCCAAGAGAGACTGTATTAATATTAGTATTAGTATTAATAGTATTAATAATAGTAATAATAATAATATTCATAGTATTAATATTAATATTAGTATTAATATTAGCCCCCTGATTACAATGAAGAGCAAGACGTGCCGCTCTGTTCTGGACCAGCTGCAGCTTAACTAGGTCTTTCTTTGCAGCACTTGACCACATGACTGGACAATAATCAAGATAAAACTAGAGCCTGCAGGACTTGCTTTGTGGAGTGTGGTGTCAAAAAAACAGAGCATCTCTTTATTACGGACAGACCTCTACCCATCTCTACAACCATATAATCTATACGTTTTGACCATGACAGTTTACAATCTAAGGTAACACCAAGTAATTTAGTCTCCTCAACTTGTTCAACAGCCACGCCATTCATTACCAGATTCAGCTGAGGTCTAGAACTTAGAGAATGATTTGTACCAAATACAATGCTCTTAGTTTCACAGATATTCAGGACCAGTTTATTACTGGCCACCCATTCCAAAACAGACTGCAACGCTTTGTTAGGGGTTTCAGTAACTTCATTAGCTGTGGTTGCTGATGCGTATGTGTTTGAATCACCAGCATACATGGACACAAAGGCTTTGTTTAATGCCAGTGGCAGGTCTCTTTTTTTATTTATTTTTATCAGTATACAATGCAGATAGACTTTTCTACCATGACTGTTGGTCACAGGAACAACATTTATTTTGTTTGAAAATAAAGAACAGTATCTTCAACTATGGTCCACCACCCAAAGGACATCCAGCCAACTTGACACAACTGTGGGAAGCATTGGAGTCAACATGGGCAAGCATCCCTATGGAACACTTTTGACACCTTGTAGAGTCCATGCCCCAAGGAATTGAGGCTGTTCTGAGGGCAAATTGGGGAGGGGGTGCAACTCAATATTAGGAAGGTGTTCCTAATGTTTGGTATACTCAGTGAACAGTAGATATTGTATGGGCATTAAACTATTAGATGAGTATGAACTAAGTAGGCCTATTCACTATGAGCAACAATTACCCCGGCATGGACAATATGTTTATGTCTTACATAACGTGTTACTGTATTGGACTACTCCTGGGGTGCTGCACCCCAAAGATATGTTTGTGTTCATTTATTTTTCAGAAAAGATGACCAACATTCCCTATTTTCTTCCACCTTATCCCATTACTAGGGCCTTGTGTTTTGTACAATCATGTGACATAGCAATATTTTGTCCTGTATTTTAAGCCTTATCCAGAAATTAGAATTTCACAAAAAATGAAAGCAATTGTCTGAGGACGATCACAAACCCACAGTCTCTGTCACCTTGACTGGCCTCAGCATCACCTCCTTCCTGTAGGAGAATTGAGTCAGGTTTACCCGGGTGTACAGCCTCTCCCTGCGCTGGAGCAAGCGATACAGAGACAGGGTGAACTTAGCCAGCACCAGGATGCAGCCTATCTCCACCAACAGCATGCATGTGTATGATATCATCCGGGCCCTGCACTGTGAGGCCTTGCTCCAGGCCTGGTGGGTGTAGTAGGAGGGGGACGGGCGACGAGAAGGTGATATGTCGGGACAGCTGAAGATCCTTGGCGTGGTTGGTGGCTGCGTTGAATCTCTCCGAGTGGTTCTTGTGATGGTGGTTGTTGGGAGAGTGGTAGAAGGTGTGGTGGTGGGTATTGGGGTTGTGACAGTGGTTGTGGTCATTGTGGTTGTGGTTGTGGTTGTGGTTGTGGTTGTGGCTAAGGTGGTTGTAGTTGTGGTAGGAGCTGTGGTTGTGGTAGGAGCTAAAGTGGTGGTTGTGGTAGGAGCTACGGTGGTGGTTGTGGTTGTGGTAGGAGCTAAAGTGGTGGTTGTGGTAGGAGCTACGGTGGTGGTTGTGGTAGGAGCTAAGGTGGTGGTTGTGGTTGTGGTAGGAGCTAAAGTGGTGGTTGTTGCGGTTGTGATTGTGGGTAATGTGGTTGTGGTCAGTGCTGTGGTTGTCCCTTTGGTGGTGGGTATCGGAGTTGTGGTTATTAGTGTGGTGGTCACAATAGTGGTTGTAGTTGGGGTGGTGGCTTCAGTTGTAGTGGCCATTGTGGTTGGCAAAGTTGTTGTAGTTGGCAGAGTGGTTGTAGTTGGCTGAGTGGTTGTAGTTGGCTGAGTGGTTGTAGTTGGCTGAGTGGTTGTAGGTGGCTGAGTGGTTGTAGGTGGCTGAGTAGTCGTAGGCTCTGTGCTTGTTGGTGTCGTAGTGGGCAGAGTAGTTGGCTGAGTAGTTGTAGGTGGCTGAGTAGTCGTAGGCTCTGTGCTTGTTGGTGTCGTAGTGGGCAGAGTAGTTGGCTGAGTGGTTGTAGGTGGCTGAGTAGTTGGAAATGTAGTTGTGACTGTAGTAGTGGGCATGGTGGTTACAAGTGGTGTGGTTGTTTGGGTTGTGGTGGTTGCTGTGGTCGTGGTGGTGGTTGTGGTGGGTAAAGGGGTGGTGGTCAGAGGAGATATAGGACATATGAGCTGATCCTCTGTGAGAGACATGATTTCTTGTCCCTTTAAATCCTCTGGCTGATTACAGATCTCAGGAGACGTGGACTTGATCTTGCCAGGGTTTGCCTTCATCCATTTGAAGAGTGGGACCATCCTGCAGTCACAATGCCAAATGTTGTTGTTTAAATAGACTTTGCTGAGTTTTGGTAAGGGTTCAAATATATCCTCTGGAAGTGTCCCCAGGCTATTATGAGCCAGTCTAAGGGTGGTTAGTGATGTCAGCTTTTCAAAGGTGTTTGCTTTCAATGATTTGATCTGGTTGTATTGAAGATTGAGTTCTGTTAGCTTCTCAAGGCCCTCAAAAGACTCTTCAGACACGGTGGACAATTGGTTGTTAGACAGATCCAACTTCCTGAGTTTCTTAAGAGGACTAAATACTCCCTGAGGAAGGCTGGTAAGACTGTTTTGAATGAGACTCAACTCAGTCAGTTTAGGCAACTCTCCAAAGAGGACAGGAGGTAGACTTGCAAGTTTATTTCCATTCAGTGTCAATATTTTAAGCAGAGGAAAGCCCACAAACATCTCTGGAGGCAATTCAGTCAACATGTTATTGTCCAAAAGTATCTTGTTTAATTTGTCTTTATGCGGGAACAAATTGGCTGATATTGCAGCTATTTTGTTACTCTGTAGAGCGATCTCCTTTAAATTGGATAGATTTTCGAATATATCGTCAGGAATGGCGGTCAGTTGGTTGTCATAGAGCCTCAGTACCTGCAGTTTGTGCAGCTTTGAGAACAGGGCGGAGGACACAGAACTGAGGTTGTTTTTGGCCAGATGGAGGGTCTGAAGGTTTTCTAGGTCATCAAACGTCCCCTCCTCGATGGTGTTGATCTCGTTTATGTGTAATTGGAGATCTCTCAGTTTCTTAAGGCCATCAAACAATCCTTTCTCCAGACTACGGATCATGTTGTGTTTCAGCAGAAGTTTTTCCAGGTTGTGCAGGCCTTGGAAGACGTCTACAGGCACGGATGTTAGTCGGGTATTGGAGATCTCAATATCCTTGAGGTCGACCAATCCCTCGAAAGCACCGTTCTCTATGGACACGGTGGGGGTGTTGATGAACTCCACCTTTTCCAGCTTCGTGTTGGTGGCGAAGGCCCCCTTTGGGATGACAGTGATTTGACTGTCCACAAAGAAGACCTCTGTGACACCTGCTTTCAGACTTACCGGGATCTGTGTCACATCACTGCCATAAACACCCTGCTTCTCTTTGGGGCAGTGGGTCTCCTTGTCACAGGACTGAGATGAATACCCAATCAGCAAAGGCAGAAAACAGATGAAGGTGTGTCTTCTAGTCATTTTTTCCTGAAAATATATACAACTTTTTATAGAAAGATTTTGTTTTGATATTGCAATTAACTTTATATATTCACCTTTATATTACTGATTCACCGAGAAAAACATCTCTAAAGTGATACCTGCAGCAAAACAATAAATTCTAAGCAGAGCATTGATGGTATACTGTACATGCTAGTCAACTAATACATGTCATGCTAAGTGACATCTGACACAAAAGGAAACAGCCATACCTGATGATTTCCTCTCGTCTTGAGGCTTATAACCGAGAGAGGCGATTAAGACAGTTATAGAGAGAGTCAGTCAAACACACCGTTTTATAGTTTACTCCTGTTTATCAGCTCTATCTAAGTCCCACAGCAGGCTTCCAGTGTGCTATCATGGGGCGTGGATAGAGAACCCTCTGCTTTCAGAGATAAGAAGGAGCCGTGAGCCCATAGAACACACATTGGTGGGGGCTATACTAAAATGTTGAAGCTAAATGGCAGTGGTTTTATGGTTTTGCCCTAGTACTGTATTCTATATTCTTCCTAGTTTCTAATAATCACATACACATGCCAGTGTCCATACAGGTTCAATTAGAGTAGCTGTGGATTTTGTGTTGTCATGTCAATGTTAATTTGAAATGTGTATGCGTCCTTTGGTTGGTTATGCCATGACCAGTGATTCAGTGAGTTCCAGAACACACTATGAGATACAGGATACAGTGGCACTGTGTCAAAGGTCACTGGTCTGATCTAAACAATGGCTCATTTTGAATGGTACCGCTGCAGAAGTCACAGACACACATCACATGCAGCAGGGGAAATCATTCCTCTTTAAGTGTAGCAGATTTGGTTCATAATTATGAATTTACGTATTGTATTCATAAACTAGCAGGTTCATGAAGTAGTAGCTAGAAGAGTTTATTTCATTCATTTAGGAAAGTAGCCTTCAGGTGGCAATGTCTTCCTTTACCTGCCGAAAGTTTGCTGAAAGCTTACATGCTGCATTATTCAAGATAGCCTATACACCCTAAACCTCAATCTAAAAATTGCCTATTGTGAGGGAAAATGTTTGAAGATGAAAGTGAAGGTCAGTGAAGATCTGAGAGGGAACACCGGTGGCGCATTCTTGGGAGGGTGTAAAGGGAAATTCTCATCTCACTAAAAGAGGATGAGGACCCACCCTTAACAGACCTTCACTGTGGGACGCATCTGAGAGGAAAGACAACATCTACGAAACCTAGAAGGACAACTCAACTGATTTGAGTAAGTCAATATAAATGAATTTGTATAAAAAATAAAAAATAAACAATAAAACTAAACATACAAATTAAGAAAGGTACCATAGTCTTTAGAAGACTAAATCCCCACTGAAAATTGTCTGTAGGCATTTATGAGAAGTGTCTACGTGGTCTGAGAACCACTGATAATAGCATGAGGTGTTATTGAGCATGAGGTGTTATTCTATATGTATAGGAAATAGCGGCAAGACTATAGAGTCCATAGAGACTGAGAGACTATAGAGACTGAGAGACTATAGAGACTATATATATTCTATAGAGACTATATATATTATATAGAGACTATATATATTCTTTAGAGTCCATAGAGACTCAGAGACTATAGAAACTATGGAGAATATAGAGACTATATATATTCTATAGAGACTATAGAGACTCAGAGACTATAGAAACTATGGAGAATATAGAGACTATAGAGAGCACCATTGAAGATACATATGTATGCATAGGAGGTAACGATAAGATAATCGTTGAAGATGCACAGACCTTACAAAGCTCAGTAAACTCTTTGCAATGAAGCCGAAAGGCTTTCATAGTGCATTAGTTGAAAGAGGCGCTCTGGTTCCCTGCCCAAATACAACCTGTAGCACACCAATTTTACCTGTTAGGAAACCATCTGGTCATTATCGTTTTGTGCAAAACCTTAGAATAGTCAACGATGCTGTTAAAGCTGGTGCCTAACACTGTTACCATTTTTATCCCAGGTGCCTCCAGGTATTTATTTTTTATTTTGGGGGGGGCTAATGCTTTCTTTCTTTTCTCTTCTCTTCTTTTGTTGCTCCTGGAGCGAGTATTTTTGTTCAGTATGTTGACGATTTGTTGGTTTGCTCGCAATCAGAGGAGATATGTCACCAGGACACTCTGGCATTGTTGATTTATTCGACAGAAAATTGTCATTAAGTTTCCCCCAGTAAGATGCAATTATGCTGGAGCACCGTTAAATATTTTGGTCATGACATTACATCTGAGGGTCGCGCACTCTCCAAAGATAGATTAGAGGCAATTCAAACTTTGCCTAAACCTATTACCAAGCAGCACATGTCTTTGTTGGATGTGGCTGGTTTCTGTCATCCGTGGTTGAAAGACTATGCAGAGATAGTTCAACTGCTGCAGGATTGTATTTATGGGAGAAAGATGGAGGTGAGTGAAGTTGTGGTATGGACTGATGAGGCTGAGGTGGGCATTGGTAAAATTGAAACAAACATTAATGTCTACCCCTTGCTTGGGTCTGCCAGACCATACTAAACCCTTCCACCTCTTTGCTTTGGAGACGGGTGGGTTTATGTCAGCAGTTTTGACACAGTATCATAGGGTGGGATATATAGACCTGTTGGTTATTATTCTAAAAGACTCGATACTGTGATCAGGGGAATGGTTTCCTGTTTGAGATCGGTAGCGGCTGCTACTGAGGCTGTTTTGGCATGTTCTGATATTGTGGCAATGTCTCCTATAACCGTACATGTGCCCCATGCTGTGTATTATACAGGCAAGAACGGCTCATTTGATTCCTGCGAGACTGCTAGACTATCAGAACATTCTGTAGACAATGTCCCATGTTACTCTGAAATGATGTACAATTCTTAACCCTTCAACTCTTCTCCCTACACCAGGGTTCTTCAATTCTGGTCCTGGAGGGCCGAAACACTTCTGTTTTTTATTTCTACCTGGTAGTTAATTGCACTCACCTGGTGTCCCAGGTCTGAATTAGCCCCTGATTAGAAGGAGAGGATGAAAAACAGAGGTGTTTCGGCCCTCCAGGACCGGAATTGAAGAACCCTGCCCTACACAGATGCCGGTGAAGACCATGACTGTGACTTAGCTATTGAAGTTGACTGTAACCCTAGGTTGGACTTGAGAGACACCCCGTTAGACAATATATATTTTTGTAAGGTAGCTTTCTTTTCTGTTCAGCTACCTAGCTAGCTAGCTACCTTTGGTCAGTCTGACTAGCTAGGCAAGTATAGCTATTGTCTAGGTTAATGTGTGTTTTCTCATAGTAATGTGTTTATTTTCTAGGTACATTAGCTGTGTGACAAATAATTAGCCTAATGCTATTTAGGCCTACTATTTTAGCCTAGTTAGCTAGTCAACTAACCTTGCTTTAGGCCCTGGATTTTATGGTTTGTGAAATTTTGTTGAGCATGACAGGTCAAATATAACGTATTATGTGGCTACTAGATGGGAGTGTTTTATAGTCTACTCTAATTAACTGTAAAACCATTGGTTGATTTGTGGTTTACATTCCGCCGCTAAATACCATCAGCGAGCATTAGACACATGGAATGTACAAGGATAAAGTCAGAATCTTGCCCCCACACAACCACTGTGTGCCAAGGTCATAGCAGAGCTCTTAATGTGAACCCCAGCCAACCCCATCATGAAACCTTGGCATAAACCCATCTGATCATGAATCTCTTTTGTAGCCTACTCGGAATGCAATCCAAATTTGATTAGTGTGTTGACTTCTCACTCCAATAGCCAAGCTTCAGTTTTCCTGAGGAACAAGTGTTTGTGATGTACAACTTGATCAAATACTGAAGAAGAGAATTGGAATGCCCCCACATCAATTGAACACAATGTTGTTAAAATAGCATTTTTATCACACTGTGCCACACAATAAACCCTTGTCTCTTGAGCATTTCAGAATATCACTACTATGTAGCATATTTATTTCAGATAACATTTTACTTGATTTGTATTTGTGAAGCATAACCGTTTGCAATGAGATAAAACCAGCCTACAGTGCATTCGGAGAGCTACCTATGTAAATGTGATATTTCCGTTTTTTATTTGTGCAAAACTTTCTAAAAACCTGTTTTTGCTTTGTCATTATAGGGTATTGTGTGAAGATTGATGAGAAAAACAACAACAATTTAATCCATTTTAGAAAAGGCTGTAAAGTAACAAAAATTTGGAAAAAGTGAAGGGGTCTTAATACTTTCCGAATGCAACTACCGTTCAAACGTTTGGGGTCACCTAAAATGTCCTTGTTTTCGAAAGGAAAGCAATTTTTTGGGCCATTAAAATAACATCAAATTGATCAGAAATACAGTGTAGACTTTGTTAATGTTGTAAATGGCTATTGTAGCTGGAAACGGCAGATTTTTTATGGAATATCTACATAGGCATACAGAGGCCCATTATCAGCAACCATCAGTCCTGTGTTCCAATGGCACGTTGTTTTTGCTAATCCAAGTTTATAATTTTAAAAGGCTAATTGATCATTAGAAAACCTTTTTGCAATTATGTTATCACAACTGTTGTGCTGATTAAATAAGCAATAAAACTGGCCTTCTTGAGACTAGTATCTAGAGCATCAACAATTGTGGGTTCAATTACACGCTCAAAATGGCCAGAAACAAATAACTTTCTTCTGAGACTCGTCAGTCTATTCTTGTTCTAAGAAATGAAGGCTATTCCATGCGAGAAATTGCCAAGAAACTGAAGATCTCATACAACGCTGTGTACTACTCCCTTCACAGAACAGCGCAAACTGTCTCTAACCAGAATAGAAAGACTAGTGGGAGGCCCCAGTGCACAACTGAGCAAGAGGACAAATACGTTAGAGTGTCTAGTTTGAGAAACAGACGCCTCACAGGTCCTCAACTGGCAGCTTCATTAAATAGTACCCGCAAAACACCAGTCTCAACGTCAACAGTGAAGAGGCGACTCCGGGATGCTGACCTTCTAGGCAGAGTTGCAAAGAAAAAGCCAAATCTCAGACTGGCCAATAAAAAGAAAAGATTAAGAGGGACAAAAGAACACAGACACTTCACAGAGGAAGATTGGAAAAAGTGTTATGGACAGACAAATCGAAGTTTGAGGTGTTCGGATCACAAAGAAGAACATTTGTGAGACGCAGACCAAATGAAAAGATGCTGGAGGAGTGCTTGATGCAATCTGTCAAGCATGGTGGAGGCAATGTGATGGTCTGGGGGGGCTTTGGTGGTGGTAAAGTGGGAGATTTGTACAGGGTAAAAGGGATCTTGAAGAAGGAAGGCAATCACTCCCTTTTGCAATGCCATTCCATAACCTGTGGACGGCACTTGATTGGAGCCAATTTCCTCCTACAACAGGACAATGACCCAAAGCACAGCTCCAAACTATGCAGTAACTATTTAGGGAAGAAGCAGTCAGCTGGTATTCTGTCTATAATGGAGTGGCCAGCACAGTCACCGGATCTCAACCCTATTGAGCTGTTGTGGGAGCAGCTTGACCGTATGGTACGTAAGAAGTGCCCATCAAGCCAATCCAACTTGTGGGAGGTGCTTCAGGAAGCATGGGGTGAAATCTCTTCAGATTACCTCAACAAATTGACAACTAGAATGCCAAAGGTCTGCAAGGCTGTAATTGCTTCAAATTGAGGATTCTTTGACGAAAGCAAAGTTTGAAGGACACTATTATTATTTCAATTAAAAATCATTATTTCTAACCTTGTCAATGACTACATCTCCTATTCATTTTGCTATATTTCCTATTCAAACTCAATTCATGTATGTTTTCATGGAAAACAAGGACATTTCTAAGTGACCCCAAACTTTTGGACGGTAGTGTATATCTATTAATTACTGCAATAAGCCTTGATATAAAATTACACAATAAGTAGCCTAATTTCAGTTAGTAAATCAGATTTAAAAAAGCTTTACTTGAAAATCAACAGCTATGTGATTAGACTATATGTTGAAAATTACATTTGTTCAGTATGAAATATTTTTCCAGTAGTCAAAAGGAAAACATGCATGGCATTTTGTGCATACCATCCATGCCATTTCCATGTGATTATTGTTACAGTTTATGAGATATCTTTTTTTTTTTTTTTTTTTGCAAAACATCAGACCACAACAAGCTTGCTAAAGAGCTTCAAGAGGGACTTGTAAAATCAGGTAATAGCAATCATATTATGGAATCCCAAGCAGAGCCACTTATTCCATCAGAGTGGAGTTTCCCAAAAGGCAGGGCCCAGCTAGTCTGTCCTTGGTCATGGGTTCTTAATAGAGACATGATGGGTTCCTGTGCTAAGATGATTGGGAACAACGGCATCATAAGGTTGTTTGCTCTGGCATGTTAGCGTACATTACACCTCCTATGTGGTGCTCCGGCCTCTGGGCCAGTCTAGATGACTGAGTTGTTTTTGTTCCTGCGGCCAAGATTGCGGCTTCCTCTCTTGTTCCTCCTCCAGCAGACGCAGCAGACAATGAGACTGGTGATGACGGCGGTGCAGACCACTGCGGTGATAATGATCTGCGTGTTCCTGGACACACCCTCTCCGTTCCCCCGCCCAGTACTGGTGTCCTCCCCCTGCTCCTGGGTGGGCGTGGCCTCTGCAGCAGGAAAGGGGGTGCTCGTCTTGGGAGGTGGGGTGTGGGGTTTCCTCCTCTTCTCTGTGGGGGTGATATCAGGGACGGTCGTAGTGTCCTGCATCAGCTCGTCGTTGGTCAGGTTGGCTATAATGTCACCGCTCAGGTAAGAGGGCGTGAGGCACACCACAGCGCTGAGGTTGGTCTTGGTGGGGTGCCGTCTCAGCCAGTCTCGCAGTGGCACGATGTCCTGGTCACACCTCCAGGGGTTGTCAACCAGCAGCACCTCCTTGGCCACCGTTAGGGTGCTGAGGAGCTCTGAGGGCAGGTTGGGGAGGGAGTTGTTGTGGAGGACCAGCTGGCCAAGTTGGGACAGGCCCTGGAGAAGCCTGGCGGGGAGGGCGCGGATGTAGTTGTGCTTGAGGGAGATGTTGACCAGCTTTGGCAGCCCCTGGAAGGTGCCCTCCTGCAGGCTGGTGAGGAGGTTGGTGTGCAGGGATACTTCCCCCAGCTCAGCCAGCCCACTGAAGGCCCCTGTGGACACAGAGCTGATCTGGTTCTGGCTCAGCACCAGCAGACGTAGCTGGGTCAGGTTGCTGAAGGTGTTGTCCTCCAGGTGTGTCAGCCGGTTGTCATATAGCCACAGCTCCTTCAGGGCCATGGGGCCGAAAACCCCTGGGGACAGACTCTGGAGCTCATTCTTATACAGGGAGATCTGGGCCAAGTTTGGGAGGTTGAGGAAAATCCCCTGTGGGAGGGAAGTCAGCCGGTTGCTGGAGAGATAAAGCTTCTGTAGGCTCTGCAGCTGGGAGAACAGGTTAGCGGGGAGATGAGTGATGTCATTATCCTGCAGAGAAAGCTCCTCCAGGCTCACCAGGTCATCCAAAGCTCCGGCAGGGATCTCCTTGAGAGCATTCCGGTTTAGACGCAGGGATTTGAGCTTGCTCAGGCCCCTGAAGGTGTTCCTTGAGAGCTGACTGATGTTATTCCTGGCTAGGCTGAGATGCTGCAGCTCGGTGATGGAGCGAAAGGCCTCCTCAGGTATAGACGTGATGAGGTTCTTGCCTATGTCCAGGGTCCTAAGAGCAGCGAGGGAGTAGAGCCAGGCGGGGCGAAGCACCAGGAGCTTGTTGCCGCTCAGAGTCAGAGATTCCAGCTTCACCAGATTTAGAAATAGGGACTCAGGCAGGTCATTCAGCTCAGTGCCTGTGAAGCCCAGGGCACCCAGGTTATGGCTGAGGTCAAAGGTGCCAGGGAACACCTCTCTGATCCCAGTGTCTTTGACCACAAAGATGCCAAGTGCCTCGGCAAAACCAGCCAAGTCATGGGGTTTGAGAGCGATGATGTTGGTGTTGGAGATGTAGAAGGTGGTGGTAGAGCCAGGCACTGAGGACGGGAACTCTGTGATTGACCTGCCTTGGCAGAGGATTTTGCTGTCTCTGCACTGGCATCCATCTGGGCACGCTCCAAGAACTCCACTGATGGCAAGGAGGAGGAGAAAGGGGTGGATGTTAATTGACAGGTCCATTGATGCTCCTAGAAAAGAGGAAGAGGGGTTAGCTTTTTTGTCATGCACACACAAACAAAATGTACATTTTATAAACCAGTATGTGTTTGCGTGTGACACTAAACAAAAATCCACAAAGTAAAATTAGACTTAATAAATGAAATGAGTGAGGTGAAAAATGCATCAGACAAATAAAGCTGTATCATAATCTCTTGAAATAATCTTTTGTAAAATTGGTTTGTGGATATAAGACCATGGGAGGGTGCAGGCCAAACAGACTAGCCTACCGTCTAGTACTAGAATCAGGCCACCTGTTGACTTAAAGGGGCAATCGGCAGTTGTTACATCCATTTTTTGGAAGTATTAATTAATGATACACTACATGACCAAAAGTATGTGGAAACATGCTCGTCGAACATCTCATTCCAAAATCATGGGCATTAATATGGAGTTGGTTCCCCCATTGCTGCTATAACAGCATCCACTCTTCTGGGAAGGCTTTCCACTAGATGTTGGAACATTGCTGCGGGGACTTGCTTCCATTCAGCCACAAGCGCATTAGTGAGGTCGGGCACTGATGTTGGGGGATTAGGCCTGGCTCGCAGTCAGCGTTCCAATTCATCCCAAAGGTGTTCGATGGGGTTGAGGTCAGGGCTCTGTGCAGGTCAGTCAAGTTCTTCCACACCGATCTCGACAAACCATTTCTGCATGGATCTCACTTTGTGCATGGGGGCATTGTCATGCTGAAACAGGAAAGGGCCTTCCCCAAACTGTTGCCACAAAGTTGGAGGCACAGAATTGTCTAGAATGTCATTGTAAGCTGTATTGTTAAGATTTCCCTTCACTGGAACTAAGGGGTCTAGCCCGAAAATGTAAAACTGCCCCAGAAAATTATTCCTCCTCCACCAAACTTTACAGTTGACACTATGCATTGGGGCAGGTAGCGTTCTCCTGGCATCCTGCAAACCCAGATTAGTCCGTCGGACTGCCAGATGGTGAAGCGTGATTTATCACTCCAGAGAACGCGTTTCCACTGCTCCAGAGACCAATGGCGGCAAGCTTCACACCACTCCAGCTAACGCTTGGCATTGCACATGGCGATCTTAGGCTGCTCGGCCATGATAACCCATTTCATGAAGCTCCCGACGAACAGTTCTTGTGCTGACGTTGCTTCCAGAGGCAGTTTGGAACTCGGTAATGAGTGTTGCAACCGAGGACAGATGATTTTTACGCGCTACGCGCTTCAGCACTCGGCGGTCCCGTTCTGTGAGCTTGTGTGGCCTACCACTTTGTGGCTGAGCCATTGTTTCTCCTAGACGTTTCCACTTCACAATAACAGCACTTACAGTTGACCGGGGCAGCTCTAGAAGGGCAGAAATTTGACAAACTAACTTGTTTGAAAGTTGGCATCCTATGTCGGTGACACTTGAAAGTCACTGAGCTCTTCAGTAAGGCCATTCCACTGCCAATGTCTGTCTATGGAGATTGCATGGCTGTGTGGTCGATTGTATACAACTGCAAGCAACAGTTGTGGCTGAAATAGCCGAATCCACTGATTTGAAGGGTTGTCCACATACTTTTGTATATATACTGTATGTAACCATTGATTCTTGAAGAATATAACTTAGAAATACCTCATGAGCTTAGTTCAACTGTCGTAGCCCATCAGAACCCCAAATATAATCTTGTTTTACTCCAATGTTTGTAAACAAAGTAAATGTAAACAAACACTATATAACCTCAAAACACGGTTAAAACTATAATGTTGATATCATAGATGGTCAATCCTTGCATCTGTCTATGAATTTGAGAGTGGTTAAATTTCTCCAGCCCCACTCCTCAGCTTTTTATCGAAACAGGGGCGGGGAAACGCTTTGTTATTGTTTCAACTGCTGATTTCTCCTTTAATAGTACTTAATCGTTGGACTGAATGGGACTAGAAATTACACACATTTCTGTTCAAATGAGGGTAAACCACAAATACTACCATACATTCATAGTTTAAAGACACTGTGTGAGATAGGCTACATAAGAATGTGATGTTGTGGTTTTCATGTATCTCTATCTTTGATTGGATCCACAGTGGCTGTTATTTCTCTATGTAGTTTCTCCCTTGCCAGAGTTCAAAGTAAGAAAGACATTTCTGTCTCACCATGCTTACACATGTTACCCCTACAGTATCATCTGAACAGACAGACTAGTCCACCAGCCTAACACCAGCCTAAAGGCCTGGCATGCAAGGCTACATTTAAAAAATATATTTTAGTCAGTTAGTTAGCAGTAGGGTTGCAGAGGGTATATTACTGGAAACGTTTGAAGTTTACCAGTAAACTACCAGAATTTTGGTAGCTTACTGATGACATCTTGTGGCCTTTTTGGGTACCTCAGATTTTCACAGGTGTCTGTAATTATCTCTGGCCCTCATTGTGGAATTACAAAATATTACAAAGCTGTCAATTATTATCCTAACTATAAACCATCAACTTAGTGAATATTAATATGAGGTTTTCAGCATTAAATATTCTTTATATATATTTTTACGCACTTTGATATATTTTACTATGTCAATATATCTTTGTTGTAAATGTTTTGCGGCCAAACTGGTGGCAGTTGTGAAAAAGGACAATAGTTGGAAGAGTTGCAAAGTTAATTGAAAATAATGCTATTGTTGATTAGATGTTTTTATCATTAATCAAGCTAATTTCTCTTGAACCATATGGTCTATCCACTAGAAACTCATGGACAATATTGACACAGATATAAAAAATGAATACTATATATGAATAATTTTTTAAAAAGTTATTCAAGTATAAATTAGCAAAATGACCATCAGTTGCCTATTAATTACCAAAATTACAGAAGATTCCGGTAACTTTGGTAAATTACCGGTAGCTTTGCAACCCTAGTTAGCAGACACTCATCCAGAGCCACTCACAGTAGAGTAAGCGCTTCAAGTAAGGAAGAGGAAACAACTGCAAGTATTGTAAGGAAAAATGTCAAAAATAAGTGCACTAATTTAATGTTGAAAAGTACCAGTAAAAGAAGCGCAAAATTCAACATAAAATATAAAACATTTAAGTGTGGCTTAGTGCACCACCAAGTGTTTTAGTTGGAGGATGGTGCTCTCTCCATAATGACCCTGGTCCGTTATTAAAGTCAAATGGCAGCAGAATGTTATTTTCTCTGTGGCTGGGACGTATGAGTGTTTCTGAGGAAACGTGTTTCCAAGGCAGCGTGGTTGTCCTTCCACTGAACACAGCCACAGAAATTGGGTTTTATTTAGGCCATTTTAAGCAGGAAGGACAATAATTACAGAATCGTTCCCTGGCTTTATCTATGACTCTTTTTTTTTAAATGTTGTATGTTATATATTTTATTATTATTATTAATATTAATATTATTTATTTTGGGGGGTAGATCAGCTTAATATTGCAGATAGATTGTAACTTCCATCAATGTAATTGTCTGCATCACTTCCAATCCCCCATGTTTAAAAAAAAAAAAAAAAATATATATATATATATATATATATATATATATATATATATATATATATACAGTGGGGGAAAAAAGTATTTAGTCAGCCACCAATTGTGCAAGTTCTCCCACTTAAAAAGATGAGAGGCCTGTAATTTTCATCATAGGTACACGTCAACTATGACAGACAAAATGAGACAATTTTTTCCAGAAAATCACATTGTAGGATTTTTTATGAATTTATTTGCAAATTATGGTGGAAAATAAGTATTTGGTCAATAACAAAAGTTTCTCAATACTTTGTTATATACCCTTTGTTGGCAATGACACAGGTCAAACGTTTTCTGTAAGTCTTCACAAGGTTTTCACACACTTTTGCTGGTATTTTGGCCCATTCCTCCATGCAGATCTCCTCTAGAGCAGTGATGTTTTGGGGCTGTCGCTGGGCAACACAGACTTTCAACTCCCTCCAAAGATTTTCTATGGGGTTGAGATCTGGAGACTGGCTAGGCCACTCCAGGACCTTGAAATGCTTCTTACGAAGCCACTCCTTCGTTGCCCGGGCGGTGTGTTTGGGATCATTGTCATGCTGAAAGACCCAGCCACGTTTCATCTTCAATGCCCTTGCTGATGGAAGGAGGTTTCACTCAAAATCTCACGATACATGGCCCCATTCATTCTTTCCTTTACACGGATCAGTCATCCTGGTCCCTTTGCAGAAAAACAGCCCCAAAGCATGATGTTTCCACCCCCATGCTTCACAGTAGGTATGGTGTTCTTTGGATGCAACTCAGCATTCTTTGTCCTCCAAACACGATGAGTTGATTTTTTACCAAAAAGTTATATTTTGGTTTCATCTGACCATATGACATTCTCCCAATCCTCTTCTGGATCATCCAAATGCACTCTAGCAAACTTCAGACGGGCCTGGACATGTACTGGCTTAAGCAGGGGGACACGTCTGGCACTGCAGGATTTGAGTCCCTGGCGGCGTAGTGTGTTACTGATGGTAGGCTTTGTTACTTTGGTCCCAGCTCTCTGCAGGTCATTCACTAGGTCCCCCCGTGTGGTTCTGGGATTTTTGCTCACCGTTCTTGTGATCATTTTGACCCCACGGGGTGAGATCTTGCGTGGAGCCCCAGATCGAGGGAGATTATCAGTGGTCTTGTATGTCTTCCATTTCCTAATAATTGCTCCCACAGTTGATTTCTTCAAACCAAGCTGTTTACCTATTGCAGATTCAGTCTTCCCAGCCTGGTGCAGGTCTACAATTTTGTTTCTGGTGTCCTTTGACAGCTCTTTGGTCTTGGCCATAGTGGAGTTTGGAGTGTGACTGTTTGAGGTTGTGGACAGGTGTCTTTTATACTGATAACAAGGTCAAACAGGTGCCATTAATACAGGTAACGAGTGGAGGACAGAGGAGCCTCTTAAAGAAGAAGTTACAGGTCTGTGAGAGCCAGAACTCTTGCTTGTTTGTAGGTGACCAAATACTTATTTTCCACCATCATTTGCAAATAAATTCATAAAAAATCCTACAATGTGAT